AGCTGAACTCGAAAGCACGGGACGACCCTTGTTTTGAGGCTAAGGAAGGAAGTTCACCGTTCCCCGTTTCGGCACGTCCGGTTTCAAGTCACAAAAGAGGTGATTCAAGTTGGCGTAGCTGGCGATCCACAGTATGACCCGAAGAACAACTTCATCGAACTTGTCACCGAACGAATACCGGCTCGAACTGAAATAAGATGCAGGATGAGAGTCTGCGAAGCACTGATGCGATAGACGCAGAGCTGACTGAGGGGCTATCTTAGTTCGTGGGCTGGAAGCAAAGATAACCTGCCATGCCCGCGTGGCTGTCTTGGCAAGTGCTGAAGTCATCAGAAAGGAACTGGTTATGGTGCCGTCTTTCAGATATGAACATGGTTTCCTCTTGCTATTTACAATTTACCACTCTAGTCTATTATCGCAGATCAGCTCTACATCAGCCATCTCATTACCCTTCCAGACCTGCTCTCCAGAGTTTGCCGCTGCTACAACGCCCCTCAGATCGGAAATCATAGCTCCCGGTCCGCTAGCAAAAACTGCAGTACGGCCTTGAATGTTCTCGGACAGGAAAGCAGGTACAACGTCCGCCATCCTCGGGTGGCTACCACTAGCGCGGATCTTCAAGGCCTTCGCAAGACCATTTGCGCGGCTGCCACTGCTCCGGCTTGAGGATGACTGGGCGCGGTCGATGACATTCTTCTCGCTAACCACAGAGGTGAGGCTTTCGCCCTCCTCGCGTGTTATGTGAATGGTGATGCTGATGCCGTGGCCCTTTGCGTCGGCCAGAGCATCGAGTTCGGCGTGTACCCATTCAAGATCTTGCCGGAGACGGACGGCCCAGACGAGAGCGATTCTGCGGTTGGGATTCGCAGGCTGGCGAACAAGCCAGTGGAGAGTAGGGAGGACGTAGGTAATACCAGTACCGCCGGCAATGCAAAGGACGTTGGCATCGGGTGTGAGGTGGAGGGTATGGTCTTCGCCATAGGGTCCCTGGAGGATGACAGGTGTAGTAGTCGTTCCTGCGGCTGCCATCTGCGCAACCTTGCGGGTCTCTCCTTTCTTCGCGCGGAAGATATAAGCGTGCTCGACAACGCCGTTGCGTTCAATAGGAAGATTCAGCGGGGTGAAGGGGTGGGATTGCCAGACGCTGGATTTCGCGAAGCAGATGTAGAAGTGCTGACCGGGCTTCCAGACATCGTGAGGCTGAGAGAAGTCCAGGCGGACGATGTCGCCGTACTGTGCGTCAGGCATGAGCACCATCTTGGCAGGGGCGGTCTGGAAGCCCATGGTGCCATCCGGAAGGTACTGATAGTGAATGAGAAACGAGCGCATAAGCCGTGCGCCGCGATCAACGAGCCAGATGGCCAGGCCGGGCACCACTGGGTATGGTGCGTTAGCATGTTGTCGAAGCTACACATGTAAGAGAAGAGGTAAAACTTACTGAACACCTTCAGGGGCTGCCAGTGACCCCAACATGCGCCAATGTAGATCATCGCGAGTACATAATGACTCTTGCGAAAGAACTCGTAGCCGGTGAGGCGAACACCCCATGGAGTAGCTAAGATGACGAGTAGAAATAGAATGATGCTAGCAACGCAGCCCCAGATCATGTACAACTGTTTGATCCATTTGTTGGCTACCTGGGGCTGCGGTTGGTAAAAGACACTCTCAATGATTGTCCAGCCGATCGTATGCGCGAGAGCCTGGATCGCGATTATCCAGCCAAGCCAGCGATGAAGAAAGTTGAAGCTCTGATACGGCACGCCGGTGAGCAAGGAAAGAATGGATTCCCGCGAAGCGAGCAGGATGGAAAACGGCGTTAACGCATATGCGAGTGTACCAACTCTGTCAGACCATGCGCCAAGCCAGGACCGTCTCTGGTAGAGATTGTCGTAGCCTTTTACCGGTGTCATCCAGTCTTTGTACCAAATTCCAATGAAGGAGAAGATGGCGAGGTATATGGTCAACATGGCCAGAATGAGAACTTGCAGTCGGGTTGTGCGACCGAAGACGAAGCGCATAGATTCCGGGAGGGTGTAGTAACGGCAAGTAGCCGTTGCCGCAGCCCTTAGGCGATGAAGACCGCCCGCACCAGGTGATTCGGCGTTGGGCTTCTTCCGCCCTTCGCCGGGCGCGGATTTGGTGATGGTGGACATAACCACAGCTTCGGCGCCGGTCGGGGGTCCCCAAATGTGCCGCCCGATAGCCCATACGAAGAGAATGCCGCCGAGAGTTGCCCAGATAATACCGGTGTAGAGCATGCCGCGCTCATGACCACCGTAGACGGATTCGAAGTATTCGCATGTTCCCGCGTCGTTGGTGCAAGGAACGACGCGGCCGGCGTAACCCCAGTAGTCGACGACCCCGCCATTGCTGATGTTCTGAGACTGATAGCCTTGTCGGCGGAAGACACTGTGTAGCAGCGAGTCTGCTGCTGAAGTTTCTTCGTCCATGGTGGGTTTCTGAAGTCGGGGGGAATGAACCGGCAAGGGGCCTCAGAGCCTGAGTCGACGTTGAAGAGGCAGACAGTATAGGATATATGGTTTGTGCTCGTCTCTCCTGTCTGCAGGTTATCCACACCATCCTAACGCGAAAGTGAGTCCACCACAAGTCGATATGAGAAACATTCTCGCGCCGGACTCTTCATTATGACTAAAAGAAATCGGCGAAAGTCTACCATACCGAGGCCGGACGCCATCCGAATTTTTGCCAAGTCTATACCAACGGAGCCGGAGACCGGCTAACAGGGTTTACAGTTTGTGTAGATGTGGCGACGGTGGAAAGAAATAGGAAACTTGGCGAGCAAGTTTGAGCAAGTTTGTTGGCTTGATAGGGGCCGGATTGGATTAAGCGTTCCTGGACAGCGTCGCAATCAGCGGGCCCGTGGGGCCCCGCCTACCGGGCTTGCCTCTTCAGATCCACGGTCCCGCCCGGCCGGCCGGACGTGAAGCCAATCCTGTCGTCTTGAAAGCAGTCAGTGACCACGAGGAGCGTAAAATGAACGCATGTAAGAGGCTTGATCGTGTTGTCCGGTGACGCCATCGGCGCATCTAGAACGGTAGTGAGGCCCCAAATGACCTGACCCAGAATACTGCATACCTTATGCATGGTACCCGGCGCGTTTCCGGGTCGGAGGGATACGACTTTGATGGAAACTGGTCAAGCAGTAAGTTCAGAGTAAAAGAACAATTATTCCGAGCTACCCAAGGATTGGTCGTATTCGTACATAAGACGACACGTGGGCCCCCTGCTCGCCTGCTTTACTCCATATTCGTCTGCTGGATCATCTCGTGGCTCTGAAAAGACCTCACAGTAACCTTCCGTCAACCTTTTTTCTCTCACAGCAACGGAAGGCGTTTGATCCTCTCTACGCCTGATTCTCACACTATTCCTTCCACGATCTTGCCTCTACTCCGGTCAATTCACGCAAGCCTTCACCATGGATCACGGCAGTGCAGACACGGCGGACTGCAAGGTCTCAGTGCGTTCTTCCGTGCCATTTTCTCCCTAGGTACTGACGGACTGATCCTAATTTCCGTAACAGATGCTATGGAACTGGAACACAATCGACGCCTGCTTTCTCTCGTCATCATGGCAGATTCGAACCCGCGGTATGATGGCAGCTTCCTGCATCGGCGTAGTCCTACTCGTCGTTATGCTCGAAGTCCTTCGCATCATGAGCAAGAAATACGATAGTCTTATACTTGCTCAGATGCGTCGCAGAGGACAGGCCGTTCACGCTGCTTCCGCATCTGCCGTCGGCCATGACCATGGCAAGGAGGGCTGCGCTCGCTCGACTGCCGTTCCATCATTAGCTTCCCGCAAAGTCGTCATGCGCGCTTCTCCCGTACAGCAAATTCTGCGTGCTATTCTGCACGCGGTGACATTTGGCGTTGCATATGTCGTTATGCTGCTGGCCATGTACTTCAACGGCTACATCATTATATCAATCATCATTGGCGCCGGCCTTGGGAAATACTTTACTGACTGGCTTTCATGTACTGTTGGAGAACAGGAGTCCCGGTCTAAAGCGGAGGGGATTGAGGAGACGACTGTATGTTGTCAGTAGCTTTTCTCTTCCAAGAGGTAAATATTGCAAAAGATGGTCATCTTGTGCGCAAGTGTCACTGACTGTGCACACAGAGTTCCATCAGTAGCTGGTCTTTCGTCTACCTTAGCTGAGAAAGTCGAGCAATCCTCGCTACCCTACTGCCCTAAATGACAGAAGAAACGGCACAATTAGCGGTCATGCGTAGGAAGACGACAGTACAGACGAAGACAATGGCAACGAAAATGACGGAGAAACAGGCTCATACAAAATGAAATTATAACGTCGCTAGAATAGGTGGCTTCCTCCCCGCAACTCGCCAGCATTGCACGCGATCATTTAGGTGGCTTCATAGAGATTATGGCACTATCAAGTCCAATCATGCCTTTCTAGCTAGTGCAAAAAGTATTTTTCGGCGTCGAAAAGCAGCAGCACGTCGCATTTACTACGGCTAAAAACCGGCTCACACATTGCATTCTCACGAAAGCAAGAATGTAATGGTCACTCCTTGTTCAGATTAACGATTCAATTTAGTGAGGCATTGTGACTGCGGGCTTTCTTTTGAAAAGCGGGAATGATCCAGGCAACCAGGCTAAGGATCGGCAAAATTCGATCGACTAGCAATTCCTGGTTCATTATTGGACGAGACCACGGGTTGGTTGTCATATTAGGCCAATGATGCATGGCTTGGTTGCATGTAAGCGCCAAGCTGAAGCCCCTCATTAATGGATAGCGGGTCACAGCCTGATCTTCAATTATTTGCGTCTTTCTCCTCCTCCCCGTTACTGCGGCAGGAGACTTGGTCAGGTTTACTTGCTCTTCAACTCTGCGTGCGCGCATCACACCCTTAGATCGGAAGTCTCGTGGATGATTGTCCGGTCTGAGCTACAAGCAGGGAAATGCTACCCTCCCTCTTTTCGATTAGATTGTGTCGGTTTTCATTTTTCGAAGAATCATGGCACCTGGCAATCTAATGACACTTAACAGCTCGGACTTTTATACTATTGCTTGGATCGCTGCGCTTCCCATCGAAAGAGCAGCGGCAGAAGCAATGCTCGACGAGGAACACGGACGACCAGAAGGATTTTCTCAACATCCAAACGATACAAACGCATACACTTGGGGCTGCATAGGAGAACACAATATCGTGATTGCTTCTCTACCGGCTGGTGCTTACGGTCTTGGGGCAGCTGCCACTACTGCTTCAAGCCTGTCCTCTTCCTTGCCTGCCATCCGGATTGGTCTTCTTGTTGGCATCGGTGGTGGCATTGCTCGACCTGACGAAGACCATGATATACGTTTGGGAGACGTGGTAGTGAGCCAGCCTGATGGGACGACGGGTGGAGTATGCCAGTACGACCTGGTCAAGGCGAAGCCCGGAAATAGTCGTGAGCGGAAGGGCTTTCTGGCGCCACCCCCAAGCGTTCTACTTCACGCCATTGCAAGCATCCAGGCAGCTCACGAGCGCAAGGATTCCGAAATTTCCCACTTTGTACAAGACATGCTGAAAGCAAACCCTAAGATGTCCAAGAAGAGCAAGAAGAGCCCCGGCTATATTCACCAAGGGTTTGAGAACGACCGTTTATTCCCGTCATATTATGACCATGTCACTGGTCTAGATTGTCTCAGTTGCGAAACAGCTGTAGAGGTCAAACGGGAAAGAAGAGAGTCGACAGATCCCGAGATACATTATGGCATTATTGCGTCTGGCAATACACTGGTGAAAGAAGCCATTACCCGAGATCAAATCATTGCCGATGTCGGAGAGGACTGTATCTGCTTTGAAATGGAAGCTGCGGGTTTGATGAATCATTTCCCTTGCCTTGTTATACGTGGTATTTGCGACTACGCAGACTCTCACAAGAATGATCGCTGGCAGCGCTACGCCTCGGCGACTGCTGCTGCTTATGCCAAAGAGCTTCTAGCCTACGTTCCACCTGGAGAGATTCAAGAAGCCAAGTCGGTGGTGGAAATACTTGAGTCAGGTGAGTTTGCCTCAGCGTCTATGTTCCACAGGTCGAGCATTGACTAACTAACTGTAATGGGAATTTTGAAGTCGACCAAAAACTGACTCGGAGTACTAGTCAATGAGAAAATCAGCACCACGCAGCAGACGGCTCAATGTGTGAAAGCTAAGGTCGAAACTCTTATGCTCAGCTCTCATGCCCAGAAGATACGACAATGGCTTTCCGCCCCGGACCCGAAAACGAACGCGAACCACGCTAGAGAGCTTCGGCATGATGGTACCGGCGCGTGGCTTTTGGAGAGCACAGCATTCAAGAATTGGTATGCTGGGAATGACAGACATTTGTGGCTCCGTGGAATTCCCGGATGTGGAAAGACCGTCCTAAGCACGAGAGTCCTTGATCACCTCGCTAAGGACATCGACCGGATCATTCTAAGCTTCTTCTTCGACTTTAGTGATACGATCAAACAGACAAAACATGGGCTATTGCGATCTCTTGCCTTCCAATTATATCATGGGGGGCACGACTCAGAAGGACATCTCGACAATTCGTTTCGAGAGCATAAAGTCGGGGACGAGAAGCCAACTACAACTACCCTTGAAGGAGTTGTGGGAGTCATGTTAGCAGCGCAGTCAAAAGTTGCGATTGTTCTTGACGCCTTGGATGAATCGACTGAGAGAGGAGAAATAGTCTCGTGGCTTGAAGCCGTGTTTTCTAATACCAAACTTGAACACGTCCAGATCATCTATACAAGTCGAGAAGAGGTCGAGTTCACACGCAGGATCCCCGAGCTCATTGGAGACAAGTGTTGTCTTTCTCTCGACGGGGCAGCAATTGATACGGATATACGATCGTACGCAATGGCAAGGCTTCAGAGTGATCATGAATTCACCAGAAAAAGGCTTTCTGAGAGTCTTCTGGGGCGCATTCACAATAAAGTTGGAAACGGGGCAAATGGAATGTAAGTTCTAGTCCATTAAGCTTTTTTTCCTTTGTCTTGTTTCTAATCTCAATCTTAGGTTTAGGTGGGCCGCCTGCCAACTTGATAGGCTGGCAAAATGCCTTAGTCCCAAGGAGATTGTGACAGCGCTCGACGGATTGCCAGAAACTCTGGAAGAGACGTATAGTCGTTTGATACAGAGCATACCGCAGAACTACTGGCAGAGCGCTCTGCTGCTTTTGCAGTTCATTGTTTATGCGGAGCGGCCGATGACTCTCAAAGAGGCCGTTGAAATTGTGGCTACAAATGTTGAAGATCAGCGACCACATTTCGACGTTAGCTGCAGGGTGTTTGACGACAATGACATCCTTAGTCACTGTCCCAGCTTGGTTTCTGTGATTGACGTCCACGATGACGGGGATGTCACACAAGAACTGCATCTCGCACACTTTTCAGTTAAAGAGTATCTTTTGCTTCGCGAAGACTTCCACCACATGAATGCAAGCATAGCCATCACAACATCATGCCTGGTTTATCTACGCGACATTGAAGGCCACAGATGGAGACTCAAGAAGGATTTCCCGCTAGCAACATACGCCGCGCAGTGTTTGATGAACTTTGCAGCTGTCGCTGAAGTGTCCGAAAATGTTGCAACACTCATCGTCACCTTCTTACAATCCGAGAAGACTTTCCAACGATGGAACTTCCTGTATGAAGCAGATTTGGAGTGGGTGAGCTATTTAGACATCCCTAAGGGATCGAGATTGTACTATGCATGCATTGCTGGGCTTCTCAAGGTTGCGACGTCAATGATTAACGCGGGACTAGACGTTAATGCGCAGCAAGGGGGAATTCACGGTAACCCACTACAAGCAGCCTCTTATCACGGTCATTTGGATATTGTCCAGCTTCTCCTGGACAACGAGGCAGATGTGAACGCTCAAGGTGGAAAGTGTGGAAACGCTCTACAAGCTGCGTCCCTCAACGGCCATCTGGGCATTGTAGAATTACTCCTCGATAAGAACGCGAGCATGGATTCCCAGTCTGGAACACACGGGAATGCATTACAGGCTGCTAGTTGTGGAGGTCATCTCCAAATTGTGCAGCTACTCCTTGAGAACGACGCAGACGTAGCTGCCCGAGGTGGATGCTACGGGAACGCACTCCATGCGGCCTCTGCGAACGGCCATTCGGATATCGTCGGACTGCTCCTAAGCAAGCACACAAGTTCAAATGTCCAAGGTCGAATTTACGACGACGCTCTCACGGCAGCTGTTCGCCAGGGACACATCAGAATCGTCGAGAAGCTACTCGAGAGTAATGCAGACCCCAGCACACCAGCAAGCTACAACGAAATGGCGATTGAAGTCGCATGTTCCAATGGCCATTTCAATATTGCCCAACTACTTCTCGAAGGAGTCCATGATTTGGAACCCCAAAATGGCTTTTATACAGGCGCATTGCGCGCTGCGTGTGCACGTGGCCGTCAGGACATGGTACAACTCTTATTCGATAAGAGTGCTGATATCTATGCGCACGAAAATATCATTGGTAGCTTGCTCCAATCGGCATCTATCGGCGGAAATGAAAATATTGTCAAGATTCTGGTCAATCTCGGAGTGGATGTTAATGCCACCTGCGACCCATACGGCTGCGCTCTGCAGGCTGCCTGTTGGCATGGTCGTGAGGAGGTTGTAATGATGCTACTCGATCACGGGGCAGATGTCAACGCTCCGGGCGGTTACTATGACAGTCCTCTCCATGCTTCAATCATAAATGGCAACGAAAATATTATCAATAACTTGAAAAGATTTGGGGCCAATGTCAGCGTGGTTGCGGAAAACTACAGCAAAATACTCGCCGAGGCATGTGAATATGGAAAAGCGCATGTCGTCAAATGTCTATCCGAAATAGGGGCCGATATTGGACACGACAGGAAGATTGATGAATATCTACAGACCGCATGCTTTTTCGGTCACAGCGAAATTGTCAAGTCGCTAGTGGGCGTTGGCGCAAATGTCAACGCTCAGGGCGGTCTCTACGGCAGTGCTCTACAAGCCGCATGTCAGAATGACAACAAAGAAATCATAGAGTTACTCGTTGAACTGGGCGCAGATATCAACAATGGGAGTGACTTTGGCAGCGCTCTTCACAATGCAGCTTGCTATGGCAACGAAAGTCTCATTGAGATGCTAATCGACCTTCTTGGTGCAGACGTCAATGCACGCGGCTCGGGATCGGTAGGTGCGACCAACGCCCTCCTAGCTGCGTCATACGTAGGGCACAGCAATGTTGTCCGGATACTTCTCGACAAGGGGGCTGAGGTTTCTCCCAGGGACGAGGATGGGAGAACACCACTCTTCGCCGCAGCCCTTGGTGGACATGTTGAAGTTGCTGCGCTCCTCATCGAAGCCAAAGCCGATATCAACAGTAATGCATATGACGTTGCATGGACACCTATCATTGCGGCAAGCTTTAATGGCCATGTTGACGTTGTGGAACTGCTGCTCGAGAATGGGGCCAACATCTTGGATACGGACAGTAATGGATGGACGCCAATATGTGTTGCGTCATCTTATGGGCAGGTTGAAGTGACAAGATTACTTCTTGAAGAAGGAGCTGACGTCTCAACAACAGCCAATGACGGATGTACACCATTATTTGCGGCATCCTCTCATGGGCAAGTCGAAATGGTAAGGCTGCTGCTTGAGAAAGGCGCCGATGATTCAATGGCTACAAAGGATGGACATACACCGCTACATGCAGCAGCCTCTCATGGGCATGTTGAAGTAGTGAAATTGCTACTTGATTTTGGCTGCCTTCGTCCAGACCACAAGAATTTGAAATATGGTCATGCTGCGCTTTCTTGTGCGGCTGAGAGCGGTCACGAATCAGTCGTAGAGCTCATTCTGCTGAATCCCCAAGTCAGTGTGGATTCAAAGGATTCAATGGGCCGCACGGCATTGTTTCAAGCGTCAGCAGAAGGACACAGAGCTATCGTTGTCATCCTCCTGAAAAACCAAGCGTCAGTCAACTCCTCGGATTACTACGGCTCCACCCCGCTCTCAATGGCAGCACAGAGAGGGCACCTGGATGTTGTCAAGATTCTTTTAGCTGCTGGCGCAAGCAGTGTCACCCAGGATCGTTACCACCGAACACCTCTTTGGTGGGCAACAAAACAAGGAAACTTGGCAGTCGTGAGAACTTTATTGCAAACCGGCCCTGGGCCAGTCACAGCGTTTCATGAGGAGATTGAATCGGAGGTTGCTGGCAGGAGACCCCCAAAGTCTATATATAAATATTGCGATATTTGCATGTTGACCATTTCAGAGGGTTGCGGCCATTATAGTTGCCCAGATTGCAACGGGGGTGATTTCGACGTATGCGAAGACTGTTTTGCGTCCGGCGGTCGTTGTCTTGAGGAATCACACACCACGACTTTCCATGACGCCGAAATAGGAGATAGGCCAAATTGAGGCCTGGAGAGAAAATTTCAAACCCGTGAATGAGGGCAGTTGTACCAAGAGTTCTAGGCAGAACTTCATAAAGATGTGCTATTCACGAGACTCCTAAGGTATCAATGTAAGATGACGGCCAACGGTCCATCTGGGTAAGTTGTAATCATGAAGTTATCTCAACGTAGAATCAATACACCACTCCAGGCCTAGTAAGTGCTGGAACTAAATCCCTGACTCAGTTTGTTTAACGAAAACGTGCAGTCCACGTCGAGCTTGAACTTTAGAGCGAATGCCTCGAGCGCTTGAAAAGAAACATGAAGAGGAGAAGAAGACAGGGGTAGCAAGAACAGAGTGATCTAAGATGAGCATTCCGGCACCAAGATTTTGATAGGTTTGGGTTCCGATTGCGCTCCACAGCGGCCTGGGTGCCGCCACCGAAAGTGGGACATACGTTCGCTGGGACAGTAATACTGTGCATCTGCTCAGGACAGCGCAATTTCATTCATTGGCCAACGAGGAGAGATGGTTATTTGTGAGTATTTTGCATATGTCGTTCTCGCATAAATGAAGATGCCAAGAAGAAGGTAAAAAATAAAAACAAAACAAAGACTTTTAACCACGTGATACTTTCTTTCCATCGCACCAGACGTCGACCCCAACTGATCCCGCCGGGAAAACCTCGGCTATCTTATCTCGATGGGACCCTGTCCGTTGATGACACCTGTGAGCTACGAACCGCTTGGCCAATGCGCCAGCGCGACTGTCTAAGCAACTTGAGGGTCGCCAAACCGACGACAGCACTTCTCAACTTCCTCCTCTTGGTCTACATGTGAGGAAACTTACAGCATACACGGCATCATGCGCCGTCTCAATTTCGTTCTGCTGGCGACAGTCCAGCTGTGCGGTGCCCGCCACCCCGGCTTCAGCATCCACGACGACCTCGTAGCTTATCCTCAGGTACGTCCGGAGCACAATGCGCAGGTGAAGCTTTCGGACAAACGACGTCTAATTATCGCGCGCAACAGTACGAGATAGTCTTCTCAGAATCATTCATCCCAGAACACGAAGCGCAGGCTCTGCTCGACCGCACGAACCCCCCGCACCCAGCCTACTCCGCCGACTTCTCGACAGCCTCCGACGTCTCCCAGAATGTCCGCGAAGCCGCAGACGCAGACGGCCGCCCCGAGCCCGAGGTGTTTGAGCGATACGAGGTCATGAACATGAACCCTGCCAAGTATCTCTGCTCGATCCCCATCCTGGAACCCCAGACGCCCGAGAACCACACCGCGACGGAGCTCGCGAAGCAGGAGGAGGCGCGCGAGCTGGCCAAGGCTTCCGCGCATGGATGGGAGCTGCTCAACGAGCTCGACGGCAACTGCCTGTACTTCATGTCGGGCTGGTGGAGCTACAGCTTCTGCTACAACCGCGATGTCACCCAATTTCACGCCCTTCCCACGGTGCCGAATGGCCAACCACCGGTCCGCGACCCTCACACGGCGGAGTACGTCCTGGGTAGAGCCAGCAAGTCGCCCAGCCAGCGCCAGCAGACTCAGGGACAGCAGCAGCAACAACAGCAACAACAGCAGCAACAGCAGAAGCAGCAGCAGACGACAAAGTCAGGAGACCCGCCGGCAAACACGGACCTCCAGATCAAAGGTGACCAGCGATACCTTGTCCAGAGATTGGACGGAGGCACAATCTGCGATCTTACGGGTCGCGAGCGCACGATCGAGGTGCAATATCACTGCGTGCCAGGCATGAAGGGCGATCGCATCGGCTGGATCAAGGAAGTGACCACATGCGCTTACCTGATGGTGGTCAACACCCCCCGCCTCTGCGACGACGTGGCCTTCCTGCCGCCCAGGGCAACGAGCGCGAACCCCATCAGCTGCCAGCTCATCATTCCCGCCGACAACCCCGCGGCACAAGCCGAATGGCACCGCCTGAAGACGCTTGAGGCGCAGGAGGCGATGGTCGGTCAGGCCGGCCAGGACCCCGGCGCCAAGCGGAGCGAGCAGGAATTGCTGCAGCAGCAGCAGCAGCAGCAGCCCGGCGGCGACGGCCAGCAGCAGCAGGACCCCAACGTCAGGGATAGAGCGCAGAAGGGTGTCAATGTGGGCGGTGTCATTGTCGGCGCCCGCAATGTGCTGGCTGACGCGGACGAGGAGGGCAAGCCCCCTGCCAAGCTGGCGCCCCCGCGCAGCTACCTGCCTGGCCGCAACCAGGGCCCTTTGGTTGAGATTATCGCTAGCGCCAAGAGCAAGGCGGACGGTGGGGAGGTGAAGGTGCTCAACCAGGAGGAGCTCGAGAAGATGGACCTGAGCCCGGAGCTGGTGGAGGAGATGAGGGCTGAGCTCGAGAAGATCGCTGGGGATAAGGGCTGGAAGCTCGAGGTAGTTGAGCAACCGGGCGACCCACGAGAGATCCGAGGCATTGTTGACCACAAAGACGAGGATGGGGAGGGCAAGGGGAAGAAGGCTGGCAAGGACGAGCAGCAGGAAGGCAGCGAGGAGCAGTTCTTCAAGGAGGAACTCTGAGAAAGATTCTATATAGCATTGGCGTTTGGCATGTATGTTCTGTATCGATACACCACCGAGGCGAATTGCAGAGATTCACTACGCAACATCGTCGTCCCAGGTTCTCACCTTGTTGTCTCTCTTAGCTTCTGCCCCCAACGTGTTGTCTCCCAGCGGTGTTGGCTCCCGTCAGATTTTCTCCCTCGTCTCTGCGTGCGTCGGTTGCAGCCGTATTTCCTGGAGTTTTTACCCCTGAGGTATAGGGTTCGGGAACACCTTCCAGGCCCTCTTGGCCAGAATCCTTCGGCATTGACGTCTGCCCTTCGGAAGCTCAACCCGAGCAGCTTTGCGTTGGGCAGTCGGGACGGACAACTCGGAGATATGATGTTGTATAGCGGCATCCCGATGATACCGGCGTGTTGATGCCGGCTGGGTGAGAAAGCTGATACCGGCACTTGGTTCTGACCGTCAACGTCTCATCGTCACATCGCGCGCAACGCCATAACGGAAACATGCTGCCCAGCTCGTGCTTTTCGCTACCCTTTGTGCTTCGTGTTCCTGCGGCTTGGCAGGTTGTTGGCTCCCATCTCCGCAGGTGCTGGGTTGCGCCAGCGCCATCTCCGCATCGTAACTTTCTATCATGATCCTCCATCCTTCATTCCTTTGTCCGGGGCAGGCAGGCAGATTGGTGCCTCGTTTTGGCAGTTGGATAGTCCACCGCGCTCAGACGTGCCATCGCTTCATCAGTAATTCCTGCAGATGAAAAGTGAAAATTCCAAGTATACAAAAGGGAAGGGTAAGGGGGAAAAAATACTGCCCAGCTCGCTCTCGTTCCTGCATGGTTGGTCGGTCGCTAGCTCCGGGCGAGATTTCCTGCGCGGGAATGCCTTCACCGACCCCAAGGCACCGCCGCCCCGGCTCCCGTGTATCCCGCAGCCTCTTCAGACGACGGAACCAGATCCGATGGCCGTCGACAGCAGCTCGTATCAGCCTCGTCTACCGACCCTATCCGTCCATATCCGCTAATTCACCCATTTTATTCACCCGTTCATGCGCCGCATGCCCCGAGCACCACAAGCTTGCGCCCGCCCGAGTCAATCACAGCAGGGACCAGCCCGCCAAGCCCACTTCACGAGAGGGAGAGAGAGGAGGAGGCCATTCCCATTCCCGGTCCCGGTTTGGCCAATATGACCCATTCCTCCGGGAAGGCGCAACGGCGGCGCGCTAAGACGAAAGACGTAGGAAAACCCACGATGTACCTCACCTACAAGCTACAGCTACAGCTACCCGTCGATGGATGCTTGGGCAGATCAAATGTGCCAATTTAAAATTTCCTTTTTCCTGTCCCCTGGGACTCGGGAGGGGGGGTTTTTGGTCAAGGTCAGGGGCGTACCTTTCCGACGGGACAGCCTCTCATTTTGCCTTTTCGCCAGTCCCCCCCTCTCCCGAGAGCAGATGGGCAAGCAAGCCCACACACTCACTCCTCTCTTCAACGGGATCCCCTGCGGGCGTTTACCGGCCGTGGTCTAGACTACTCAAAATCCAGGTCGCGACATCCACAGATCATCAGAACTACCGGGCTGCGATAATGAAAGCAGCGCAGATGATAGTACGTGCATGTGACTTGGCCCAATAGATACCCCGGAGTTGTGGGAGAAGAGAAGAAAACTCTAACAAAACCCCCAAAACGGGACAGGGATGGAAGGGGATATAGAGTGCCGTTGTTGATATTTTGGCGTCGAAGTTGTGATGGGACTTGGCAACGTAGCATTGGCGCTGGCGACACCAACAGCCTGGAACCTACCACCCTACTACACACCCCCACTTCCAAATTGCGCACATATAACGCGGACGAAGCTATCACAAAAGACGAAAAATAGGTACGAAAATCTCTTGCCTTTCCCGGCAGGCAAAGAGATGGTTTCTGGAAATTAAAGAAGAGCGCTAGCTTCGTGACTATGGTCCCACGGTTTCCACGGATGCTCGGGAGGAGATGTGTTTTTTTAATATTGCCACCAGTAAGAAGGCGGTGTTCTTTTCTCTGATAGGTACGCATATGCAGTGTACTTTTCATAGTGTTATTGATATTTCCCCTTGAGTCCACTGCTCACGACTCGCCAAGACCGGCCCCCATGCTGAATCTCTCGGCCGATCTCAATCACCACAGGGCCCGGCCTGTCATCGGACCAGCACACGGGGCCACACGGACACGGGCACACCTCTTTTTTCGAACCCCGCATGTTGGGGGAGACCATTCAACCTCAAACATTGCACACTTTCAGCCTCCAGGGCTTCGGGAGATCAGGGGCCACGGCAGTCTCCGAAAACAATGTGAAGAATTGATGCCCCCCCTTGTCCCCTTGTCAGGTAACTATTGCGGCTGCCCGCTGCTGGAGCACCTGTCAAGAAAAGGCCGGGGGTGGGGTGTGGATGTTATTTGTTCATGTTGCTGCTAGTCAGCCGCAGTCAATTTGTCACAAGCAAAAAAAGAAGTACACACTGCAAGAAATGGAAAGTACTGTACAGCAACATTGAGATTTCGGCCGGGACTCGATTTTGCTGCCCGGCATGCCGACCGAAAGTTGACCGACCAACCCTCGTCGGAGTCTGTGTGTCCATTACATCAAACCCGATATAGGGTCCTGTCACAATTCGACTGCAGCCTAGCCAGGCTGGCCGGGCCGGGCTGCTTGTTTCAAGCCCAACGGTGTTTTGGATGGACTGTCGTCGAAATATCACTCAGTGAGAAAAACCAAAAAAAAAAAAAAAAAAAAAAAAAAAAATAAGAAAAAATTGGGGCCGGTGGTTGACCTGAAAACCGGCGGTCAAAACTCTAAGTTCGCGTCCCCCGATAGCGATTAGGGGGATTTCATACTTGATGCAAGGCGCCGTTGACAGACGCCGTCCGAGCACAATGGGAACAGACGCACGTCCAGATCAGATAATCAGTTCATGTGTTCGGTCCTGCTGGAAAGGAGGTCGCGTGTTCTACGCTGTTGGGGATGGATCGTGTGGAACGCGCGCCTTGGCTACGTACGACCGGCGCCGGTAGGCGGTAGGGAAGAGCTAATGAGGAAGCCGGCGGTGGCGGAGGATAATGGAGAGGGGGATCCGCCGCGATCGGGATGACGGACGTTGACGTGTGAACAAACACGATGCCCCGTACCACGGCGCACAGAACAACGGCGCAGGCAAAGCAAGGCAAGCAAGCTGGACGGAGGGACTCTCTCCAGGGTTGGGCATGTTGCGATGTCGTTGGAGATCCGATGTGTGTAGATGGCATGCAGATTAGGTGAACAAGTCATCAGGCCAGGCACAGACGGGACGAGACGGGCATCGTCATCGGGCGAGTGTACGCATCGGGTTATGTTTCCGGATCGAAGGAGAGAGGAAAGAAGGGTTCGAAACGTGGTGTTCTCAGCAGAGTTTTGGCCCTTCTCTCAGACAAGACAATGGAAGCAGACCCGAGCTTCGATGGAAGCCCTGTGCCTCTACCCAAAACAACATGACAAGAAAAAGGAGGCTCTCGGGCAGGCAAACCCTGGTGAGACCGTTCAAGCTGCTAGGAGTCAGGGTCGGCAGCTACATAGTACCTTAGACGCATACCGCAGGAAGCTAAGCACGTGTGGCCCAAAACGGCGGGGTGTGCGGTTGGATCCGTTCGGCGGTACTCTCTGGTGGGCTCTCCAGTCTTTCACGAGTGTGAATCAATCACATTTTGGGACCTGGAAAGAGATCCCAATTCCCACTTTGATGGATCTTGGCAACAGCGGGCGACGGGCGGACAGGGGAGCCGGGGTTTAGTAGCTAAGTTATTAACAAGGGCAGCACCGGCAACACCAGCACCATCACCAGCTAACAGCCCTGGGAGTACTATGTAGTGAGTGTAGCAGCAGCAGCACAGAGCAGCATGCCGCCCCTCCCTTTTGCCCTGGACCAGGCGAATGGCGCCGTCCCCAGAGGGGCCGGAATAGCGCCGTGCGGTCCCTGACTGTGGCTCTGTGGGTGACTTGCACTGCTCGCTTTGTAGAGCAGGAGCCAGGTGCAGGAACAAGGTACTTTCCATTTCAGATAGCTTCCAAAATAGCATAGCACCACCACCAGCACCACCACCAGCACCACCACCAGCACCACCACCAGCACCACCACCAAGCAACCTGGAGCAGGAGCAACAGCATCACCTAGCAGCTGCAACACGGGTGCACCGAGTCGAGTAGCTGCTGATGCTCGCAGCTCCCTACCTTAACGGACCTGACGACATGGAGGAGACATGGAGACATGGAGACATGGTCATGATGTTTCACGGCCGACTGCGGGCGGCACCTTCCCAACCCAAGTCGGTGGACACGACACGACACGACACGACACGACAATCACATATCTTTCTGATGGACCTCCTCCTTTAAGGCGCACCGCCGCCCGGACTGCTCCTCATCCGATGTCGACGCTGCCTTGATTGGGTCTTGAACATCCCATCGTCTGCTTCCCCCGCATATACACACCGGCCACGAGGGCATGTAGGTTCTCGAATTTCTCGAAGGGCACGCCATCCAAGACTCACCTCATCCAAGACGCATGCATTCCACCAGCCAAGCACTCCCACGCCATACTTTGACGACGACGACGACACCACAATCTTCTCCGACACACCAGCACCACCAGCACCGAGTATCGCACTTCTGCAGCCACTCAGCTACGCAGCCGTGGCAGCTTCAACCAGTCATCACGCCCTACCACTCTGTCCATCCATCTCTCTCCCCGCAGATCAAGGACAAGTCAAGACACGAGCAGCCGAGACACCACACACCCGGCGCACACGAGCCTCCGGAGCATTCGCACTCCAAAACATACCGCAGGTGCTTTCAGTCACCATTGGTCGCGAGCAAGCCGCACATCAGCTGACTCGGCCAGCCATTCCCTAGGTTCTCCTACCTACTGCGCGCACTTACCAAACCGTCTCGACGCATATCGCATACGTCTTTCGCCCCCTCGACTGTCTTTTCCCCGCATTTCACAGGCACCACACCATTCGCCGCACCGCACGGCACCTCACGCGCGCAACGGGTGGGATAGCTGAACCAAGCCAAGGGGGAGGGGGGGACCACCAGCACCGCACCACCGCTGCCCTGCCGCTGCCGCCGCCGACCGCGACATACACCTGGCACCCACCATTCACGGACAGGACAGGACAGGCAGCTCCAGTGCAGCTCGAACAAGCAAGCATCCACGCATCGCATCGCATCCATCGGCATCCATCCAGCCCTCCGTGCCTCCGAACCTACCTTTGACACCGGCACCATCCACACCCAAGTTCCCGTCGAACCCTACCTACGCCTTAGCTCCGTCCCCTTGCTGGTGAGGGGCTGAGGAGAGAGAGAGAGAGAGAGAGAGAGAGGAGACGGCGTCACGGCGAGTGGACTCTGGCTACCGACCGGGGGGAGGCTGGGCCCTGGACTGACTGGGACTTATTCCTTGCCTTTGCTTCCCGAGTCGATTTGCGGTCGGTGCGTGCTGCTCGCTCGCTCTGCTTCAACCACCACACTACCTACCTATTCGTACCAACCACAAATCCTCGACTCCACCGCGAAATCTCTCGCTCAAATCCTTTTGACGTTCGGCAGCCCCCTGTGACGACCTACTTGTCTGCACCGTTCCCCCTCGACCCTTTTCCTTCTCATTGCGTCATGTTCAAGTGATGGACGACACAGATTCTGCGAGAAATGCTGCGAGCAGAGCGGGCTCTGCAGAGGTCAAGGCCGAGTCGCCAGGCGCAATCAGCAGCAGCAGCAGCAGTCGACACCAGCATCATCAGCAACAGTCAGCACCCGGAGCATCGTCTGCGCCGCCAAAGAGGACAGTATGCGACCACTGTCGAAGGAGAAGTACGCCCATGTTCTGTTCCACCTCCCAGTCAACTTCCGTGCCCCGTCTACCATCGTCGTTATTGTCGGGCATTTTGATCTGATTTGCCTTGCTTTTTCCCCTTCGGCCGTCGCATTCATGAACTTTCGTGCGATCCTACCTCTTCCCAGCAGCCTGCCTCCGGGACAGTCAATTTGCCGTTTTCATGGTACCAACCCGCCTTGAGCCGCTGCGTTGCTGCACGTCATCATGATCATCACTCTACCAACACCCATCACATACCTCAGTCACTGTCAGCAACTTGGAATTTCATGTCTCTCAACCCCTCACCCCCGCCGCCGCTCTCTTCAACTGCGCAAGACAAGGCTTCGTACTGACAGTACATAGGAATACGATGCGATGGCAAGTTTCCCTGTGAGCAATGCGTGCACGCTTCTCTCACTTGCAAGCGCGATCATGTCCCAAAGAAGAGGGGCCCGAAACGCGGGCATGGGAGGGTGATTAACGAGCTGCGCGCCAAGGAGTCGTCGCAAACGCATCCGCAGCAGCAGCAACGCCATCACCACCAACCAAACCAGAGACCGTTCAACGGAGAGAATGCCCTCGAGAGCCCTACAGAGTATGTGCGGCGTCGCTTATCAGCAGCTTGCCCGCCGCTGAACGTGGACAGCGTCGACATTGGAATGAGCGGGAGCGACATTGGCGAAGCCGCATCGCATGAGCACTCGTCCAACGCGTCCGCAGCATCGACCCCGCCGAGCTTCTGGGCCGCCGTCACTTCGAATCCCGCGCACAGCCAGGTCCCGGAACCCAGGGGCATCTTCTCGAGCGACGAACTCCGGCCGAGGACGCGGAACTACTTCCACATGATCCCCCAGCTGATCGAGCTGTACTACGAGCACATCTACCCCATCATGCCCCTCATCTACATGCCCGCCATGCGCGAGACCATCAGCCGCCCGATGATGACCTCGAGCGAGAAGAACCTAGTCTACGCCATGTGCGCACTCACCTCGATGCACATGTCCGGCAAAAGCATAGGCGCCCCAGGGCCCACATCATGGGAGGTAGTCGGCCGCTTCTTCCTGGACGAAACAATCTCTACAAGACAGTCGTACGACTTTCTTGAGGATTTGTCGCTTTCCGCTGTGATTTCGTCGTTTTACCTAAGCACATCCTTCTTTGAGATCAACCAGTCGCGGAAATCGTGGTACTACCTGCGGGAGGCGTTGACGAACGCACAGGATCTAGGACTGCAGGACGACTCGACGTACTACGGGCTTAGCCGGGAGGAGACACTATGTCGGCAGAGAGTCTTTTGGATTCTCTTCGTTACAGAAAGGTTAGTTTCAGTCGCTCATCCCAGTCCTACGCCTGTTCCCCGAGGGCGTATCGCCGAAAAGCCCATGGCACCTGCTAACGCGCCGACCCCTCGACTGCAGGTCTTTTGCGATCTTACGCAACAAACCGATCACATTCAAGAGGACACCCTCTCTGCCGACGACGCGACACCCATACGAGGCGCCGGACATTCACGCCGGCTTCTTGCAGCTCGTTTCATCGTACACACCTCTCGACGAATCGTTCGTGACCGCATGGAACGAGGGGTCCGATCCCCGCGTCAGCGCGACAACCTTTTTGGCGCTGCAAAACCTTCTATCCCTCCCTCCCGCGTTCCTCCGACCGCGGAATGCACGGGGGTCGCCGCCATCGCAGCACCAACATCAGCACCAAGGGCAATTTGTCGGGTCGTTTGGAGCGGCGTCCGCCAGCCGAGATGCGGGCGGGCCGGAGCCGACAGACATCCAAAAGGCGGACCTTTTGATTACGCAGCAGTGGTTGCGGCTGATTGTGTGGCAGTCGTCGATGCGGCAGGGCCTGTTGAGCTGGACAAACCCGGCGGACTCGAGCGGGCCGTCTAGTGGTGGCGTGGGCGGCGGAAACAGCATGTGCTTTTCATTTCCCCTCACCGTCGCCCGCGACACGGCGTCGATCCTGGCTAGTCTGCCGAGCAAGGCGGTCGAGGTGCACGGCATGGGCATCATGGAGAAGATTTTCGAGATTGGCACATGGTGCGTAAATGTGCTGGGTGCCTGCGAGAGCGTCGGTTTCCAGACAGCCATGGACTTTACATCGGGTGAGATGGGTGTGCTGGGCAGTGGGAGGAAAGGAGCGAGCCTGGACCCGATTGAGTTCTTCATCAAGACCCTCAGCGCAAGCGACAATTCCAGAAAACAGTTTGCCGACAAGCTGCTCACAGCCGCCGGTGAGAACCCAGGGAGCATGAGGACGCAGCTCAGCCCGGCCATGTCTGCCGTTGGTTCGGTCGCTGCGGCGATGATGGCTGCGCACAATCAAGCACACGGCGTGATGGAGGCCCCAGGGTGGGGGCAGCAGAGGGGAACCGTCGTCGGAGAGGTGTTCGACGAGAACGAGGAGAACAACAGTAACCAGCCCGTCCTCGATCTGACTGGCCCTCCGATGCACCACCAACAACAGGGAATGCAGAGTATGGGGCTGGGCATCGATCTCGGCGCTGGGGAGATGGGCGGCATGGGTGGAGTTGAGATAGACGCCAACAGCGTCGACCTGATGAGTCCTCTCGGACTCACCCGAAGCAACTCCGATATGGCGGGGATGGGTATGGGATTTGAGGCCGCGTGGAGCCCAGGCAGCGGCGGCACCGGCCCACGAGAATATCCCGATCCGGGTCCACCACCCGGGTACGCTACCCACGCTACCCACCGCGAAGGATACCCGGACTTGGGCAACGGGATGATGATGCACGAGCGTATGACAACCGGCGGGGGTCCCGTAGGAGGCCCGCAAGGCCCCGGCGGTGGCGTCGACGGCCCGACCATGGGCGACCGACAGCAGCAAGCACAACCACCACATCAACCAGGACAAGGCGACAACGCGCCATACGACAACAGGAAACGTGGGGATAAGGGCGGCGGATACCGGAACGGCGGCATGGTCGGTGTTTGGTAAGGGTCATCAAAAACGTTTTGCCAGCGGATTTCAGCAGGCGGTTCGGGCCGGTTCGGTTCTTTATACAATACCTCTCTCTTCACACACATCTGGTCTAAGCAAAATATCGGGGAGCAGTCGGTCGGTCGGTCGGGCGATGTCAATGGCGATGTCACAAAAGATATAGGGAGGAATTTTCTTCCGGCGGCTATGCAAGCATTTCTGGGCGGGGGGCATCTGCGTGTACTCTTATTCACCAAACTATCGGTCCAGTGAGACCTCATTTGGTTGAAGTAGATCTAAGCGACATGTTTTATTAAGTGTACAAATGTATCATAAGGGTGATGAATAAAAGACTTGTCAAAGATCAATTTTGGCGTCACTGCAAAAGTCGTTCTGCTGATGCTGGGGAACCTCTTGACTCGTGCGGCGGGCGACCGACCGACCCCATATCTCCGAAGTGGATCGCCGTCTCGGCCGACGGTGCGCCGGGTGTGCGGCACCTTCGTTGCAGGATCGATATGTTGGAGTCTGATGCAGCTTACGTGGTGACCCCCAGCATTCCGCGATTGATAAGACAGGTGACTCGATGGCTGACTGCCTTCTCAAAAAGGGAAGCCTGCCTTTATGAGCAATGTGAATTTGAGCGAGGATGTTGATCTATTTAATTTGCGATATTGGCTGTCTCTGTGAGATTTCAATTAGACACCGAGAAGATCTTGATGCACAGAGTACACAAAATGACAGATTTAGTGTCTATCCCGCCCCAGCATCACTCCATCCTCACAACCCCACGTCTACGTCTTCGGGCCGTGAGGGCGGGGGATCTGGCGGCTGTGCATGGGATGAGGGTTGATGCGGCGGTGATGCGGTACATGTAAGTACGCCTTCTTTCCTGCCCTCTCTCTCACTGGGAACCGAGGAGTGGGAATATCCTTCGGGAATGATTTAGCTAACGAGGACAAAGGCCCGGCGTCGAAACTGAGCTTGTCGCGGAGAGGTCCCGTAGCGTGGAGAGGATTAGGATGATGATGAGGCCGGGCATGTTTTCGTTTGCGGTGGTTGTACCGTTACCTGTCCTCTCTCAGGAGAAGAACGAGGAGGGAGAAGGGCAGGTTGTCGGTTTCGTGGGGATAACCTCGCCCCCGCAGATATTCTACATTTTTGCGCGTGCGTCGTGGGGAGTGGGATATGCTACGGAAGCTTTGAGGGCGTTTTTGGTAGAGTATTGGGGACGGTTTCCGGGCGGGTTGGAGGCTGAGACAGATTCTGGGTCGGTCGAAGTGGAGAAGGATGAAGGGGGAGATTTCCTGGAGGCGCATGTCCATGATGGGAATGTAGGCAGTGAGAACGTTCTGCGGAAGTGTGGGTTTGAGGTCGTCCGGGAGGGAAAGGCGATGGCGCATGGGGTTGAGATCGGTACGCAGATTTACCGCCTGAACCGACCTCAATAGACATGGACATAATACAACAATTCACGAATACTTTTGCTTGATGTTTGCGAGGCCTTCGAATGATCCTTCTATATTTTGATATCCCGCCCAATTCGTACCTAAAAAGTCAAGTCTATGCCCAACGCCAGCCTATGTATACCAGGTGGATGTCCCATCCCGTCGTACGAAGATGTATGAGGGGGTATCAAGATGTAGCAACAGCTCAAAGATGGGGAACGAAAGCAAACTGCCGACTCATCGCCCTAAACACATATCGTGATCGTGAGAAATACCCTCTTAATCTCTTCCACCGCGTCTTCCACGGTTGCCACGACCACCGGAACCGGCGCTGCGGCCCTCGCCGCCACCGCCGCCACCACCCCCGCGTCCGTGGCGACCCTTGGGGGCATCAGGCACAACGACCAGACCTCTTGTGCCGCGAAGACCCATCTTGCCGACGGTGCTCTTGCCGATGGACGGCGTCTCGGGGCATCGAAGGGCGTCGCGGGCAAAGACATTGCCCTCTGAGACGAGGTCCTCCTTCTCCCACTTGAGCTGCTTCATCCAGTTCTTGTAGTAGCCGAGCCAGGCTTGGTAGATCTTAGCCTTCTGCGCCTCATCAATGCGTTGCTCCGCGATGTTGTACACCTGCTCCGCCGAGGACAGGTCGGCAGCGCGCTGCTCAAAGTTGATCTCCTTGAGCTGCCAGCGGGGGAAGAAGTCCTCGAGGTCGGTGACGACAAAGATACCGCGACCCTCGGCACCCGCACGAGCTGTACGGCCCAGACGGTGGATGTAAGACTCCTTGTCTGCGGGGATACCGACCTGGAAAACGGAGGTAACGCCGGGGAAATCCATACCGCGGGCAATGACATCGGTGGCGACAAGAACGCCTGTCTTGGCGTCGCGGTAGTCGTTGGTGATCTTGGTGCGCTTGCCTTGGGAAATGCGGGAGTGCAGAACCGAGGCCTGCGGCATGCCGGGCATGTTGGCAAGGATGTCTCCGTAGAAATCTGCCAGGGCGGCAGTCGGTGCAAAGACAATCGCCTTGAAGCTCTCGGGGCCGACAAAGGCAGCCTCCTCGCGAATGGCGCCGACCATGGCTGGCGCAACGGAGGCAAAGGTGGGGACCTTGATGAGATGCTGAGGAACACGCTCGTGGGTGTTGGCCTCACCAGCAGGGATGGTGGAGATGAACTTGTAGCCAGGGGAGAGGACGAGGCCTGCTACTTGCTGGACGTGGGAGGCGATGGTGGCGGAGAAGAGCATGCCCTGGCGGTTCGTCTTGGACTTGTCAGGCAGGGCGCGGACGATATCCTTCAGGGCAGGCATGAAACCCATGTCGAGAAGACGGTCTGCCTCATCGAGAACCAAGGTGTCGAGGTTGCGGAAGGAGTCCTGGATATACTCATTGGCCATGTGATCGATCAGACGGCCTGGCGTGGCGATGAGAATGTCGCAGCCCTGGAGGATCTGCTTCTCTTCACGGTCCTTGTTCGTACCGCCAATGGCGATGCAGACGCGGTACTGGCGAAGACGCTGCAGGAGGCCCTCGGCTTCCTTGGCGATCTGCATGGCAAGCTCGCGAGTCGGTGAGATGACCAGCAGGGAAATGCCACCCCCGCGGCCGCGGTTCTGGGTGAGAAGGGTCTGGATGGCGGGGAGCAGGAAGGCGATGGTTTTTCCGGTACCTGTCTTGGCCTGGACCAGGCAGTCGCTGCGCTTGGGAGGGAGGAGCTCATCGAGCGTGGCGGCCTGGACGGGCATCATGTGGTCGAACTTGAGGTCCTCGGTGATGGCCTGGACGAGGGACTGGTGGACGCCGACCATATCAGCGAATCTCGGTGTGTCCTTGGGAACGGCCTCGGTGAGAGGTGGTGTAGCCGTCTGGGGAATGACTGAAGCCGGGCCTGGCTGAGGTCTCTGCTCGCGCTGCTCCTGGTCCTGGTGCTGCTGGTGCTGGCGACGGCCGCCGCCACCACCAGATCTGGGGTTGTCATTGTTGCCGCCTCCGCCTCCGCCTCCGCGGCGATTGTCGCGTCTGGGGTGACGACGGTTGTTGTTGCCTCTTCCGCGCTCCATCTTGATGTATGTTTGTTTGGAAGATTGAATTCGTGAGGTGTTGTTTTCTCACGGCGAGGGAATCTAGACCGTGGTTGTTGTTGATGTGAAGGGGGAAAATTTCCCAGTGACGACAGGGAAGTTGACGAAACTGATCTGGTCTGGGTTTAGCGTCGAGCGATAAGCTGCGCCGGGAGGTGCCGATAAGGAAGGTTTTAGGGGTTCATCCTTCACCGCCTGCCCCACCCCGCCGCAGTGGATACTGGGACGTTACTGCCCCGCGAGTTTCTTTCGGCAGCATCGTTTCAGGTGCACTTGCCTTCCATGCGTCCCTTGCGATGTACACCCATTTATATCTCATCTCAGCTTGTCTTCATCTCTCGATGTGACTGAGACTGTCATCTCATCTTAGTGCTACCAGAGACACACCCAAGTAAGGGGACTGACGTCTGTCAAATCATGCCCCTAAATGACAAGCCTTCTGCAGTGGGGCGCAGACGCTTCAACCCCCACTCCAACACTTCATCAGTGTTTGTGCTGGCAACACTCGACGAATGACGATGGCGATAAGCCGGTTACGTTTAAGACTGTCTCCAACTTGGAAATAATTACATACGTGTTCATGTTCTATTATGAAATTGATTTTCCCCTAGCTTAGCGATCTAGAGAAGACGCTTCGGCCCGAGAACTTAGTCCAGGGGCACCCGAACATGTCACGAACCGATCACACTTCTCAGTCGCGAACACCGCCTAGACAGAGTGAGTAGCGTTGGTCGCCTCGAACATTCGCCTAAATGCCAAGGAAGATGCAGGCACGCACGTCCAACCAACCAAGCTGCCCTACGCGCCTCAGCGAAGGCTCATCTCGCCACCCAATCATGAGCCACCTCGCAAACGTGGACGTCTTGGGGGCGCCAACAGCAGCATGTGCTCCCCCATGCCCACAAAAAACAATGTCATCCGCCTTATCCCAACGTGACACAATCGCACACCAACGATTTAATCCGAGGCCCGGAATAAACCTGTGGGACGCGTTCTGCATGCTGTGCCACCCTGGAGCAGATAATTCCGGCCGTTTTAGGGCCAGATGTTGCGCGTCAGGTGTGTTGGTGTGTTAGTCACCCCCTATCTTTGACCATTTTCGTGATCATAAGCCACAGCCGCCTGTTGGTTCTCTTTGGGGAGAACTTGGGCGCTTCGCTCAAACGATGCGACTCATAAACAAGGGATGCGCGTGTGTTTCCTTGCGATTTCGAAATGATTGTGCATATAAAGACTAGCTCTCCTCTCAGCGCATCGGTCGCTGGCTTTCTCATCTTGATATCACCAGACGACAAACATCGTCCAAATTACGTATCGCGGCTTCACAAAGCTGCCCTTCGATTGGTGCGTCTTCCACAAGTTGCGTTCGTCCCGAAGCCCTTTTTGACTTAAGACTTTTCAAGACAGATCTGAAAGTTCCTCACACTTGTTGATAACCAACAAATCACACGGCTCAGGCTCAAAGCCGGGGATCGCGATTTTCGATATGGCAAACCTCGAATTTAAAACACAGCCTAGAGATAATGAGCAACATCGAATGACTCAACATCAAACGTCTCTTACAGCGATCCTGCTCTACTGGGTCCTGTTTACAGCCAGGTGGCTGATATGGTTCTGCTTCGGCTGGGCCACTTCGAGCGCTTTGTTCACCATCTTCCTCCTCGGCTTACCATTCGGTCGACAAATAGAGGGAACACTGCGTCTGGCGTATCATGTCGTCAGAATGGAACTTGGGCAAACATACGCCACTTTTCCCGAGGGAGGGGGCACCATCATGCGCAATCGGTCAAAGCTACCACAACATTGTTGAAGCTAGGAACGCCTTGTAGTATGCGAGATTGTTTGCAAGTTAACCACTGGAGACTAATATCTGTTCATTAAATCAGCTTATATATGCCTTACATGTATATATCGCCTGGTTCGATCTAAGTTGTTTGTGCCAGTGGGCTGCGCCGGCGTGCTTGCAGACCAAGGCTTCGGATAAAGCACATGTTACGATTGATTTAATATGAATATCACTGTAAATCATTTTATGTTTTCACTCATGTGTTTACGCAAGTATCATTTGCATCTTTCATCTTCACTGGTACAAGGTGTTTTGGGCTTTCCCCGACGTCGGAGCGTTAGCGGCGCCTTGCCGATGACACCGAACCAATCAATCTCGATGTCTGGGCAGATCATATCTTCTCGAGGTATTTCACTCTTCAAAATCGGTCTCTTCATTCTCTTGGCTCATGGAAGTAACACAATGCCCACGTAGCCATTAACAAGATCATTCGGATGTCAACATACATCATGGAAACTCGACACCAAAGCACCGAGCTCCACAGATTGGGCCAAAACGATCACCAACCTTCACCTGATTCCACCATCGGAGAGCAAGAGACAGTCATTGGGATCGAACAAGCATCACTGCCTCCCGCTGATAGAGGCAAACAGGCATGGCTGGTCTTGGCTGGATGCTCATTGATACAAATCCCTGTATGGGGTGAGTCGCTCCTTGCACACCTTTGTAGCACGGCAATTGACGATGCCTTAGGATACTCTCTCGCCTTTGGTGTATTCCAAGAATATTACGGCAGCCACCCAAACGAGATTGATGGTGATATCAGCAACATAGCTGTGATTGGCACTACAATGACTGTACGTTGAAGTCGATAAACAAAACCTTCAACATGTGCTGATGAATACAGGGTATCATGTACCTCATCTCGCCTTTCACATTCACCATCTTGAGCCGATGGCCCCGTCTGCGCCGCTGGTTCGGCCCACTCGGGCTGATCCTATCAGCAGCTGGCTTCCTCATGTCTTCCTTCGCGACCAAGGTGTGGCAATTAATTGCAACGCAGGGGGTGGTTTGCGCTCTTGGCTGTGGACTTATGTTCACTCCCACAACCCTCTATCTCGACGAGTGGTTCATCAAACGAAAGGGACTAGCTTACGGCGTCATGTGGGCCGGGAAGTCTGCAGCTGGGGTTGGCATTCCCTTCGCTATAGAAGCGCTGTTGCAGAGATTCGGGCCTGTGACCACACTCCGAGCATGGGGTGTCGCAACGGTATGAGATATGTCAACAACAAACCGTTTGGTTCATGGCTTGCTTACTTATAGACAGGTTCTATTATCAGCCCCCCTCATCTATTTCCTCAAACCTCGCATCCCTCTCTCTCAATCTACCGCCGTCCGTCGAATCAGCCTTGACTTCATTTTCCTTCCCTCCTTCTGGATGCTGCAGATCGGCAACATTCTGCAATCTCTCGGCTACTTCCTTCCATACACCTACCTCACCACCTACGCCGTCCAGCAACTCCACGTCTCTACCACCATCGCCACCGCTCTTCTTGTCCTGATCAACGTCACCTCCATCCCGGGTGGCATCGTCATGGGCAGTCTTGGCGACCACCTACGCGTCACTACAGTAATCCTCATCTCCACGATCGGCTCTGCTTTAGCTGTGTTTCTGTTCTGGGGCTTCTCAAGCCACACAGCGCTGCTGGCTGTCTTCAGCATCACATACGGCTTCTTTGCCGGCGGTTTCAGCTCCACGTGGTCTGGTGTGCTCTCGGAGCTGAAGGCTCAGAGCCCGGCGCTGGATACTGGGTTCATCTTTGGTTTGTTGGCTGGTGGTAGGGGGGTTGGGAATGTGATCAGTGGGCCGCTTGGCGTGGCCCTGTTGACTAGTGGCGCGTGGGTGGAGGATGGGAAGAGTTGGGGGTGCAGTGGTGAATACGGGGGAATCATCTGGTTCACAGGGCTGACGGCAGTAATGGGAGGTTGGGGTGCGCTATCTAGAGTTAACTGCTTAGGTACGAGATAGGTCGAACCGATGAATGATTGCAACCCGACTCTGGTATTGTAATGACGCAGCTTAAGGTTAGTACATTCATCATGACTGCACGTAACTGACTGGGGTTATCTCAACAACAGTAGCCTACGGAAAAAGTGAAAGCCCGGAAGGGCAAGGGGAGAAACAGAGACAATGACGGGTGCGAAGATAGAGACGACGATACCGGGTGCGTGCACACAAAATTAGAAACCAAATCATAGCTAGCATCCATTGATATATTCACGTTTAGGTGCTGGTCTCAGCTTGGGTGTCGGTTACACGCAGGGTGAGGTTTGTTTGACTCCATATGCTTGCAATCTTCTGAATGATTGCAATAAGCTTGTGAGGGGAGGGGCCGAGTGCGCCAGATGCAGCATAATACAGCATTTCTGCACATTTCCCCAATTAAAAAGGCCATCTATGCCGTCCTAAAAGTTGGCTCCGAAGACGTGACCCTGCGTGGTTTCAACCTGACCACACAAGTTATGATCATTGAACATTTGATCCAGAAGTACTTGCGTTTCAATCTTTCTTGTCTTGTTACCGATGCGCAAGGTAACCTCCTTTGAATGTTTCAGGCAACTAAGACTTGAGGAAATCTCGGTGTTCGCTAAACCAAGTTGGGTTATAGATGTGGCCAAGAATCTTGGCCAGCATACTCATCAGTATTTTTCACGCCACTTCAATTACGATTTGATGAAAGAGAAAGGCTGGATGGTACGTGGATCCGTTTTAGACGCCAAACTTCGGCTGCCTCTGGTGGCTATTTCGATCCCCTAACCTCCTTGCAGCGTTCCCATGGGAGGAAAGAAACAAGTAGCAGGGGCTGTCTTGAATACCCGCACACTTGAGTACAAGTATGGTCAGTCCGGTAGGAATAAAAGCTCCAAGCTCGTTCTTCTTCAATACACACTGGATGCACTCTTCTTTGTGACGCCCGTACTGGCGCACTTCATTACACAATGACAATGGTTTCGAATGTCGCCGAGAGGATCAATCACTACCAAGATAAATGGCTACCTAGTGGATGGCGAAGAGCGGCCATACTCAACATTGGTCTTATGTCGGCATTGTTCTTCGCGCTTCTTGGTGTGCTTCTCACGTCAGCATCATCGGGAAACAATTTCAGCCAAGCATGGCAGCTTTATACGGAAGACTGTCGCAGCAATAAGGCTGCTTCACTCAGCACAGTTCTGCATTTATTTATCAACGTATTGTCGACAATGATTCTTGCCTCTTCAAATTTTTTCATGCAGATATTGAACGCACCATCTAGAGAGGAGGTCGATAGAGCCCACGCTAAGGAGGAATGGCTCGACATTGGTATTCCATCCTGGAGAAACGCCTTTCGCCTCTCGAAGTTCAAAACTGCAGCTTGGCTCGCCCTTCTCATTACTTCGATTCCTGTCCACATGTTTTTCAATAGCTCAGTTTTCCTGATGAACACGCGAATGGGGGATTATTACGTCATTGTCGCATCCGAATCCTTCGTTCAAGGACAACCATTCTATCTTCCCGGCGCTAGTCTGCTGACATCCGACGTCTTCACGAATGCATCAGATAACGATCCATACTATTCCCCGTTTTACTATTCTCCGTCGTACTATTTACAGACGCAAGATCTCCTGCCAGCCCAGTATTATTTCGATGGCAACTTCTCTGGCCAAGCAAAAAATGTTTCCGAAGCAGCAACTCACGCGTCCAACTGGGAAAGACTAGAACCACTGGAGTGCCTCGACATGTACTCATCCAACACCTGTTCTGGACTGACAGAATACCGAAATGTTGTCGTCGTTATGAAAGGACAAGGTTGGAAGCGATCTGGAGTATGGAATTTGTCTGTAATCGCTGACAAAACGTGGGAGTCGGTTGTCCCACAAAGTCTTACCAATTCAGTATGGGCTTCACGGCAATGCAGCATGCATCCCACAGCACACCAGGGAAAAGCGGGCCCATGTATGGAAAGATGTTTTGGACTTTTCGGTGGGCATAAGACCAGCTTGACTGGGCCTCCCAAATTGCCCATAATGGTCAATATGGCTTCTTGGTACAACCGTCCTTCCATATTCAACACTTCGTTATACGCGGCTCCCGGGAATGATTCTCAATTCGGGTTTCGACTTGATTCGCCATATTTCGATATTCAAGCCGGCTATCCATACAAGGAAATCTCACATTGCTTAGTAGAGCCAAGAAACTCCTCTTGCTCTGTCGCATTATCAAAGCCTCTGTTTCTCGCAGTTGTATTATCGATACTAATCAAGGCGATGACTTGCGTTGTGATAGTTAGGGTCCTTGGCACGCAGGAGTCTCTCGTCACCCCAGGAGATGCTATCGCCTCGTTCATCTCAAGTCAGCACAGCCTATGTGATGCGAGTCTCATTACTCAGCGATTCGCTCGAGAAAATAAGGCAGTTGCTTTGTACTACATGCTAGGACCTCAAAAATGGGTCAACAGGCGACATCAACAAGCGTCAGCTGTACCTCGACCAGTCTGGATCGGGACATACGTCGTTCTGATGTTCGGGATTGTTATGTTAGCAGTCGCGTTTCAGTTTCAGCTGCGGAACAACATCCCATCGTGAGTCGCCTTTTGAGTGTCTGAGTGGCAAGGTTGCTAATATTTCGTAGGCAATGGGATAACTTAGACTCTGAGGCCGCGAGTAGTCTTCTCACAGGAATCAAGGAACACTCGCCATTCATATCTTCAGTTATCGCAGTCAATGCCCCACAACTGTATCTCTCTTTCTGGTATCTTGCTTATAACTCACTCCTCACGCGCCTAGAGATGAGCCGCGAATGGGCTCTGTTTTATGACCATTATCGCCCACTGCGTGTGACTCGACCCAGGTAAGTTCCTTCAAAAGTCCTCGGCGCCGAGCTCGTGGTCACAGTTTCTTTCATCCTATCTTTAGCATTTTATTGTTTTCGGGAGCTAATCAATATTCCAAGAGGCAAACAAATTGCGACCAGCCGCCTCCAATTACCGTACAAGTACAGCATCAGCCTAATGGCTCTAAGTGGTTTGATGCACTGGCTTATGTCAAGTGTTCTATTTGTTATGGTATCTAGAGGCGGTAAGTGAAACCGCGAGCCCAATGTCGATTGCCAAGTGCAAAAACTGACGCCTGTGGGTTTGTGGAAACTAGACTACTTTCCACCAGAATATGACTTCGCACGTGATGTAATAAGCTTGCCTGAAGACGCCACAGTCGTAGTCGGCACTCTTTCCCTTCCAGTGTTGATTCTTATCATACTCGGGTCCTTAATGACTCTCTCACCAATCGCTCTTTCACGGCGAAACCTACCAGGCTGCATGCCAATTGTGGGATCGAACTCGCTAGCCATCATGGCAGCCTGCCGGGTTTCACCTTCAGCCAAGATTCCCACATCCGACAATAGCGAGAATACATCCATCGACCAAGAAGACACAGAGCTTGAGGACCTAGTGCCGGAATCGAGCAGAAGCATATCCAACGAACACGAGATTTCTAACGCAGATACAAACAAGAACATTGCGCTCCACTTGTTAAAATGGGGAGAGATTAAAATGCCGGATGAGTGGTATCGTCTCAATGAATGGAGATGCCGAATGGAAGAGGACTTCCAACCCCTGGGTTTTGGAACCACGCTAGATGAACCGCAAACCCCAATCGAAGGGTGTTGGTACATGTGAATGATAAGGAACTCTCAAAGGTGGTTTTGTAATGCAAGTCTAGCCCTTGCTGTGTGATATTTTGGGGAGCGACTTTGGAGACTAGAACTATGCGACATGGTTGACGCCAGCGCAGCATACCAATCAATCAAGTCAAAACTGAGGCTTGAGATTGGCTGATTGAATGACTTTTCGCGATACTTTTGATTGTTTTGCCTGATTTGATTTGAATTGGTTAAAGATGGCTTTGTGAAGTTATCTCCCTATTAGTATAGGGGTATCTGACGTAACACTTTTTTATATAGTCTGTGAGTTCGAACATGGGTTATGCCCCTTTTTTTTTTTTTGTGCTCTAGTGGGCCTATGCCCTAATACGCCCTCTAAGCCCCCCTAAAGCCCCCCGCCCCCCCTAAAGCCCCCCTCTAGGCGCCCCCTCTAAGCGCCCCCTCTAGCCCCCCGCCCCCCCTTCTGGGCCCCCCTTCCGGGCCCCCTTCCGGGCCGGCCCTGGGCGGGGTCCGCGCCCGAGATTTCTAGCCTTCCTATTGGCCCGGGGACCGGAATAACCGTAGTTCCGGCTACCCTCAGATTGATCAAAACAGCCAAAACGAGGGTATCGTCGTTTTGGCTGATTGACTGCGAAAAAAGCCCTATTTTGATTGCTTGATTGGTTGAATTGATTGAATGGGATTGAATGGGGTGCTGCGCTGGTTGACGCTCTATGTACAATCCTTTGCAGCAAGCGCTCCAGTCGCAGATTCAGAACCGGTCATAGACGCGTCTACACTACGAAAGAGAATGTGAAATGTAAACAAACACAGAAGAAAGTAATAATCGTTGCAAGCATTTAGTGATTGTATTGAGTCCCCTCCCCTGTCAAGCAAATCTTCTCATTCGCCTAAAAGATTTGTACTCGTAGAGCCATGTGACGCCACGGTGCGCGTGTGACATGTAAAGAGAATTTACCTTAAGGGTAGCAAGCTAGCACCCACAGAAAGAAAAGCAGGTGCATCTGACGCAACCTTTATATCACACTGTCAGCTATATATCCGGAAAGCCCACAACGGGTTTTCAGGGGGGGCATGTCTGCTCAAGCAAGGACACGTTAGACTGCCTACTAATGGCAGTAGGAAGTCCTAGTAACATCATTCTGGAAAGTGCTCGATTCTATCGGACTCGGGGCTTAGTTGCCGTTTTCAGCAATGCTCGGGGCGTAAGGCTCAGCCAAGACCCGCCAGACCCCCGGGGGACCTTGGTCCGTCACCGTACACTTCCGCACTGTAAACGCTTATAGATAAGCTGTGATCAAATTTCGCATCATGTTGGTATGCATCTGACTTGTAGTGTTATGTGGAACATGACCATCGTACTAATTGATATGGCTCGTTGGCTCCGCTGTGAGGTTGCGCCACATGTGCCGGTTCGAAGCATGTACTGCAAATGGATAAGTGTCAGAAAACCCAGTGGCCTGCAGCGTTTGGCCTGTAGAGCACCTGGCTCAAAAAAGATATGTTGTAATGATAGGAGCTGTAGTACGGAGTCAAGCCCACTGTCCTTGCCAGCAAAAGGGTTGACATTCCGACAGTGGAACACGGCAGTGCCGGTAGGCACACGCGAAGGGAACTGCAAAGTCAAGGAACGGAGGGGCTTCCAATGAAAGGGGCTTACAATGAAAGTCTGGGAGTTACAGTAAATATCCTGGGCCATGGAATCTTCGGACTTGAGCGCTGGCTGTTCGGGCTTTCGACTGGTAGCGATGTACCGCGGCTGGTAAGTACCTGACAGATGGTCTCATTTTTGCCAAGCACCGCAATACAATCCTCCACAATAGGTGGCGGTGCCATTGCCCTGGATAAATCCTGTTCCAACACTATTGGAACACTCAGCGCTGTCCTTGCGTCAGTGGGGGAAAGCGTCACGTCAATATTCTAGTCACTGTGCCACTGTGTCCCTTTCTTTCCACACCTCCTGTGATGACCCGTCCAGCACGCCATACACTCACTTGTATCTTTTATGACAAGCAGTTCAGAATCGAAATGGTTCCCATTATTAGTGCATTTAAAGTGACCACAATAATCAACTTCGGCGTGTCCAACAAAACTCAACACGATTTTCTGGCTGTCCATCATCGGTACTGCATATCACAAAACGATGCTTTGCATGAGTCGAAGCATGAACCATGGAGCATTGCGCTGCAGATCAGTGTTGTGTAAAAGGGTTACTAGCTCTTATCGCAAGCAAGCCAAGTAGCTTGGGCTCCCGCCAGGTTGCCACTGATAGGAAGAAAGTTCTTGTCACCACTTCCCCACGTTTTCCAGAATCAACGGTCGAACATAGATAGCAGCGCACATGTATGTGTGAAAGAAGATTATTGCGAGTCTGCTGTCAAAGATTTACACAGGAGAAAGTCAAGAATAACCCCGTAATCTATCCGGCCTGTATTAAACAAGCTTCCCTCGTTAATCAATTGAACTCATCCGGCGAGTGTTCTGGCGTCTGAGTACCTCGTTTCAGCACGATACCCCTATGCTTTCACTGAGAGCTGGCCTCGGTTTAGACCGACTGGATGACAATTCGGAAGCTCTCGCCAACACGGCTGACTTCCACGGCCTTGGAGCTGGTTCCGGCGGACAGGGTCTCGGTCGCCACGACACCATCACCAGCGTAGACGGTGTACTTGAAGGTGAGGGTGCTGAAAGGGGCGCTGTGGTAGAAGGTGATCTTAAACTGGTCGTTGCCCAGGGGCTCTGCCTTGTACTGGAAGCTGGGCCCGCCGCCAATGACCGCCGTAGTGGCCCAAGGGACGACCCTCTCGAAATCCTCCCTCGCCATCAAGACTGCATGAATGGCTGCGTCTTCGACGACAGGGGCGGAGCGCGCGGTGACCACAGATGTGTCGGCAACGGCAACGTCCCGGGCGGCAGCCGGCGCGACTGCGGCGGGGAGAGCGGCCGCGAGGGACGCGAAGCTGAGGAGCATAGAGAGCTGCATGGTGATTGTAGATGATAGGATGGAAAGATTTGACTTGGAGTGTTCGTGTAGAAGATTATGTAGTGCGTGAATGATAGAAACTACACGGCATTCCAAGCAGCTTCACTGCCTCGTTATATAGCTCGAGCATAGGAGATGTCTGACTGACATCAAAACCAAACACCGTGGCGTCATATGAAGGATTGGGAAGGTGGTTTGTTGGACAATATGGGCGCTCATGCGCAGATGCTCAAGATCTCCTGATTTAGATGGAACTTTGCCAACTCGTATCACGACCTCGCGGTTCAATGCTTCCTGTTCTGCGTTGCTACATTCCTGAAGCGGTACACACCCATACATACCTACGTTGTTATGCTAACCATCATATGAACGAGTGCAAGCCAAGACGGTGAAGACCATTCTTTGTCATTCTGTGGCTACAAATGGCGACATGATTGTTCGGGAAAGCCTCTCCTTGCGGAAGGAGCAAGCATATCCGGTGGGGAGGAGGGATGGTTCCAAGGTGACTGACTTATCTCCACCCCCACCTCCGTGCCGGCAGGCTTTCAGAGGGACGCTGCACACTTGCGAGAATGAGCCTGCGTCGGCCCTGAACAGCCTCTAAAAAGCCATCTGCTTACTTATTTACTGCATTCAAGGACCTGACGCATGTATTTGGATGCAGAGAAATAGTGATTCACCTCTTTATGGTGCAGGGATCGGTAAAGTTCGATGCATTGAAGAAAGTCACGAGCCTTACCGCCAGTGTTCGTCCAATCCGTCCGGGACAGCTTTGAGTTGAGTACCTAAAACAAACAAGCCATCAATCTCCATTGAGCCATATGGTGTTGTAACGAAGCTATGTTGACTATCTGACATACATCGGCAAGCCTGTCTGGCTTACGGATGTATGTGTAATGCGGCGTATGGATCATGTGGGGGAAATTTTAATCTAGTACATTCATGTACCATAGAGTGGCATGTCTTTACCTTCCTCGTATGCCCCCCTGACCCTGTGAAGTGGAATCTCGCCTCATGACGCCAAGAATGTAGATTGTGATGTGCAAGACAGGCTCCTTTAGGCCATCGTACACTAATTGGGATCTTTGCCGCCGCAGGCTTCAATTATCTCAAGGCGACGACGGATCTGCATTTCTACATCAATTCACGCTGACTTGTGTCGCGTTTCCCTCCAATGGTGTTGACAGCAGCGTAGTTAGACAGCTACTGCCATGTTCCATGTCGCGCCGGAGACCAGTAGGTAGGCGTCAGTGTGGCCAGGCCGTTGCGGTAAAGAATGATCATGTTTCGTGCTGGCTATTCCCAAATCACTCATAGCAGGATCGCATAGAGAGCATCATGTCTACCTAATTTATGGCGACAGAACACCTGAGTGTGGCTATTAATGGGCAATCGGTGTTGTCTTCAAGCAAAGAGCAGCAAGCCATGCAAGCTTCAGGGGCCAAACAGGACTTCCGCGGTTGGTGTGGTAAGAATGGATACTCAGAGCTAAGCATGACCTCGTAACGTTAGTAATCGCATACGGGATTTTCAGTATTGCAGCCGTTGAGACAGTCCAATACTTCGTCAATCATAATTAAATCCTCGATTCTGGACTTCTGTTCTTCTTGCGGGCTTCGGCAGCAACATGCCATCTAAACATCCAACAGCATCGAACGATCGCTCGCTGCGGCATGTACATTGAACAGAGCGCGTCAAGGATTTGTATTCATTCCTGTCGTCAAGGCTGCGGGACTTCAAAGTACCCGGTGTGTGGCATGGTATTTTGAAATGAGTTCATCCGCGTTGACAACAAAACTGCAGAAAAGCTCGGGCACACATTCTCACATACACATCAGGCAAAAATAGAGAACCGAAATCAGTTCTTCGTGTTGAATCTGGAAGTATGTTGTATGATTTGAAATGATTTCGCGACAATACTGGCGCCAGTACAGCTAGCCTCGCTCCACCTCGAGGGGAACTCGGGCGATGTCCGCATCCCGGGTAAGCGTCGGCGGTAACGACCCCTTCTATCAGGACGGGGATAAGATAAA